AGAGAGAGAGAGAGAGAGAGCTAGTAATACTGGTGCCAGTACCGATATTTCTGTTTGGGGTGCATTCTCGAATCTTGAAATTATGCAATTTGCCTGTCCGGCCGCTCCTGCAAAGAGACCTCGTCGCAAAAGGATGGATGTAGTTCCCGGGGAGAGCATTGTTGATGACTATAAAGCAAGGCCGCCTGCATTTGCCAATTATGAAGCCAGACCGATACAACCAACTGATGGAGAGCTTCTAGAATAGGAATTTATCTCCTCAAACTCGGAGTCCGAGACTGGCTTTGAAAACCAGAGACAAATCCAGTGCCTGTTTGAAGACTTCGCTGAGTCAAATTCTAACACATCTTTCGAACCGTAGATAATGAACGGTACCGGTAAATCTAAATTGAACAACTTCATGAGTGTAAAAAGTAAAGTTGTTCCCGCATCCGATCCGGACTTTGGGGATTGCTTTGTTAGTGAGACAACTTCCCGGGCCTTCGGCATATTGTGGTAGGGTGGCCCGTTCCTTTCCACGCCGCCTTCGCGCTTTTCCCTTTCGTCAACCCACAGCCACATCCTGAAACGTCAGCCACATCCCAACATTTGACAGGGGTCAAACTTCAATCTATTTTTAAGTGATGATATTAAAGTCAATTTAAGCTTCATTTCGTCAGAAAATTGTGTTAAGTTTGCTAACTTCTTAGACTTTGTGTTAAACAACACTTTTAATAATGAAGCCTTACAAGCTAGCTAGGCTTGGTCTTTGCAATCTTGACTTGAAGGCATTGCATGTTTTTATTAAATCTAGAAGTAGCGAAGTAGAAGAGTCTTACAACTAGAGTATAGTGTAATTCATTTAATCTATTGAATGTACTGGATTCCAGAAATCTGCAACCTGCAACTAGATTACAACAAGATCTAGATTCAAGATTTTAGTAAAGGCAGAGTCTAGGGAAAAACATCTACAAATTCGCGTGGTGATGAGTAAAGAGAGACCAAAACAATCTCAATATCGCGACTATCACGGTACATCACTTCGCCTCTACATGTTCCGGTAACTACCTATAAATAGATTGGAGTTTTGACCCCTGTCCAAGGTTGGGATGTGGCTGACGATCCGGGATGTGGCTGCGGGTTGAAGAAATGGAAAAGCGCTGCCTTCACTTCCCCAACTCGAAGTCTGGTACCCATTACTGTTGGGTGCGCAGGAGGGGGCGAACAAATCCATGTCCAAAACGAGGCTCGAACCCGAACTCATGCATGTACTATATTAATATTCTTCATTACGTGGGATACATGGCAACTTAATTTGCTAAAATTTGATAAATACTTACTGGTTCTTCAAGTGTAATACGCATCAATTTTAAATGTTCTTTGTTTTGAATGAAATGCAGCGAATTATTCTTTCCTTGCTGAAAATGAATAGATAATGTTTGTGAACTGAAATACAATAGTCTTAATTATTGCTACAGTCGCTTTAAGTCACCCTCATGAGGGGTTAACTTTGTTAAAAGAGAACTTTATGAGAATGCCTGTTTCAACACATGCCCGGGTGACTAAGGCACCCCATCGTTTTCCTCTTATTTTTAAAGAATTGACTTTATTATTTGCTCCCAAAAGGGTGTACTTCGATACTATTCAACCAGCCTCTAATTTGAACCCAAAAATATAAACCTTACTCAAAACTTTTCAAATTCTGAATCCTAGAAGCTATAACAGGTGCTTTAGTCACCCCGGTTTATCGGTATCTCGTCTCCCCCCAGGGACGTTGCATCCCTCAAGCCCTGACAGGCAGGATCGAAGCGGCCCGCCATCTGAATGATGTAATAAGTGTCGACTGAGATGTGAAGCATCTAAAATTATAATTTCTTTCTTAAACCTAAAGTAAAACATATTTAACTTCACGGAACCTTCAGAAACCTTGCAAGAATTTGTATTTTTCTTGAAAAGCCCAGATTTTAAACATGTTATAGGGTCTGCTGACGATAATCTTATTGTAAAGCTCATTGAGCATGCTGCAGTGCATTAGTGTACACTACATAAATATAATATATTACTGTGATCATTTAATTCACCTGGTCTGCTGCTTCCTGGGTTAACTTGCCTCGAGTGTGTATCGGAGTAATCACAGCACCAGGTCTGAGGGGGACAATGTAAACATATTGAGAGAGAGAGAGAGAGAGAGAGAGAGAGAGAGAGAGAGAGAGAGAGAGAGTTTAGTAAGAGTAACATACTTGAGTAAAGTAAGTTGAGAATTCTGTTGGGATCAGCGACGGAGAACAGATCTCTTAAATTTCTTCATTTAAATTATTTACATCATCCCCTCTCTTAAATTTCTTCATTTAAAATATTTTCATCGCGCCTCTCAAAAGTCTTGATATGCTACATGTGTGTGTCTAGTGGTAAAATCTGAATCGCATCCGACACAGGAAGGTTTCTTATATCCCTGGGTAATTTTGAGAGGATAATTTGGTGGGACATAAATGGTCGTGATTGGTGTGTGCAGGGCGATATCCAGGAAGGTCGTCCTAAGATGTATTTGTCTGTGTGTTGTTGTCGAGATGGTGGTTCCACTGGAAAAAATCTGGTTCTTTGTGCGAATGCAATGATGCAGTAAATCGTCTTGCTTTAAGTCTACGGTAGAAGCCGGGGCGAACTTATGACACCTGGATACAGGCCACAAGTGGAGAGAGAGAGAGAGAGAGAGAGAGAGAGAGAGAGAGAGAGAGAGAGAGAGAGAGAGAGAGAGAGAGAGAGAGAGAGATAAATAGATAGATAGATAGATAAATAGATAGATAGATTGCATAATGTTATCCTAAAAGTGACCTGTCAGCTTTAACTGACCATTAAATAGATCTTTTAAACAACATCGGTTAACGTTATATTATTTATTTATTGTAATATATGTGTGAACTCGTGTCAGAGTCATGTCATATGTACGGTATGTGAAAGAGAGGGTGGGTGAGAGGGTATTTGTGTGTGTGTGTGTTTTTTGAGTGTGTACATATATACATACATATATATGTATATATATATATACTTTTTTTTGTTTGTTTGGTAAGTGTTTTACGGCGCTCGCAACTGCATAAGGTCATATGAGGGCGCAGGACACATCTAATACTCTTAGTTGGTAGGAAAGTTTGAATTTTGCCCGGAGCATACTCTTATCGATTTTAGACCTCCAAGGGATCTTTAACGTGCGCAGTTTGCACACGGGCTATCCGACATTTTTCGCCCATGTTCGAGAAGGCTAGGTGTAGATCTTTCCTACCAGAAGATCAGGGGTGCGGCAGAAAGACAGCTGTAAGAAGGAGTCAAGGAGTAGCAACAGAAAGGCTGCAGAAAGAGTCAGGAGCCCAGAGGAGGGGGCAAAGGAGGTGAGGGGGTGGGGGCAGAAAGAAGAGACGAAAGCAGACGACAGAATATTGCTAGAGAGCAGGAAAGAAGGTGAAAGAAGATAATTTTAGAGAAGAAAATTTTTCGGTCGCTACCCGGATTCAAACCCGGATTCAAACCCGGGACCTTTGAATGAGAGGCCAACACCTTAACCTCTAGGCCACGAGAGCCGCCCGTATATATATATATATATATATATATATATATATATATATATATATATATATATATATATATATATATATGTGTGTGTGTGTGTGTGTGTGTGTGTGTGTGTGTGTGTGTGTGTGCGTGTCTGTGTGTGTGTGTGTGTGCGTGTTCGTGTGTGGGTCTGTGTGAGTGAGTGAGTGAGTGAGTGAGTGAGTGAGTGAGTGAGTGAGTGAGTGAGTATTTGTGTGTGTGAATGAGTGAGTGAGTAAGTGAGTAAATGAGTGAAGGAATGTGAGTGAATGAGTGAGTGAGTAAGCGAGTGTTTGTTTGTGTGTGTGCGTTTGTGTATGTGTGTCTGTGTATGTGTGCACGTGTGTGTGTGTGTGTGTGTGTGTGTGTGTGTGTGTGTGTGTGTGTGTGTGTGTGTGTGTGTGTGTTTGTGTGTGTGTATGTGTGTGAATGTTTAAACAGCAATACGCCAGTCTGTGAACGATAAAGATTAATTTTATCATATTATGTTATTTCTTTTAAAGATCTTATTTTAACGTTGTCTCCACTCATTTAAATGTGCACGTCCGCAATTATGTCATGCACCTATGTTGTGAAAGGGCAATGACTCCTTACCTTATAGAGTTCACTCGTATTCCTGTCTTTCCAAACTCTGAAAAAATATGAGATTCTTTTAAAGGTGTGTTTACACCCTTCACCGACACAATTAATTAGATCATTTAAGATGCGAGATTTGATTTTGTCGACGCCAACCTTGGCCTGAAAGATTACAACGTACCAGCACAAAGACCTAATAAATACTGAACAAACACTCTCCCCGCACAGGAATCGAACAAAGGTCTTCTGTGTACAACAGTGAAGCACCTCTGCTTGTTCACTTTCCTCTGACCGCGGTTAAAACAAGATACAAAAATGAAAACGCTCAGTTCAATATTCTCAGACCTTTGCATGCGTGTCTGCAAGTTGGCTGACCAGCAGATTATAAAAGCCTATTCGTAAAGGAATGCAAACTGAGGTTCCGACACGTTTTCTTTGATGTAAGCCGAAAGCAGGTAAAAGATATTAGGGGATTTACAGCATTCACCTAAAACATTTTAAAGTTGAAATAATGTTCCCCAACACCACACTCTAACTTTAAAAGCGCGCGCGCACAGAGGAGTCGCTTTCACCTCACCATCCCCTCACCAAAGGTTCACCATTTTGGTTTTGCACCAAAGAAGGTGAGGAGAGGAGGGAACAGAGTGGAGTCGCTTTCCCCTCCTTTTGTGCGCTCGTGTGCTGTAGTTGGAATTAGTCTTGTCATAAAAACCCGACCTGTTTTGGACAGTAGCAATTAAAACTTCAGGTTTCATGTTTACTGGTCAACAATTGTCTGGCGACTGGTTCGCCAAAGTGACTGAAATTTTAGTGCAGCGCTTTTAGTTAGCAAGCCCCAACTATTTTTTAAGCGCGGTTGATGATGGTGCGGGGAGAGTGAGTGGCTTCCACCATGTCTCGAGCAAACACGAATTAAAATTTCAGCGTCGGCAAACAGGTAACTCTTTGGTGCTTGTGAATTTTGGAGACTCATGTGGAGCACGTGGGGACAGCTGGCAGATGAATACAAGCTTACACTGAAATGACGGGGCAGGGTGGTGTCGCTGTCTCAAAAAAGAAGCAGTTTGAAGACGAAGTTACTGTAAGTCAAACAAACAAACAATCAAAAAAGCCAAATAAACAAACACACAAACAAACAAACCACAACAATTACGAGCACCGGTCACATGTTCTCAAAACTGTTCTGTGTCAAAATTCTATTCCATGCATAAAATGAACTGAACTACTGTCCCTCGCAGGAGAGGTCGATGCCCGTGTGGGGAACATTTTCATGGAGTATCCGTCTTTTTGCTGCGACGTTGGGCTCCTTTCAGCACGGGTCGGCCGTTAAAGAGATGGTTGAAGAAGCCACTCTACTAAAGGACGTATTATTGTTTTGAACATTGAGTAAGGCCGGTGCCAGAGTGGCTCTGTAGGTCTGACCTGTAGCTCTCCTGTCGCACGCCGTGTGCGTGTCAGCACAGCCGCACCATGTGCCAAGTGCACCCCCCCCCCCCCCCCCCCCCCCCCCACATAGACACAAACACACTTGCAGCTGCTTAGTTTAGTTTTAGTACAGGTTTTACAGCGCTTGCAACTGCATAATAAGGTCATATGAGCGCCAGAAGATTAGAGGTGTCACAAGAGAGTAACAAACACAAAAAAGAAGGAGGGGAGATAAGGACGACAGATGTTTGATAGGAAAGAAGGAGCAAACCACAACATGCGCGAGGCGATAGTTTACATTGGTTACTTGTTACTATGCAAGGCTGGATCGAGATCTAGATCTACTGATCGTCTCGGGCGGTATGTCTAGCCTAGGCCTACTAGAATTAATTTATTTTAGCTCAGAGAGAGAGAGAGAGAGAGAGAGAGAGAGAGAGAGAGAGAGAGAGAGAGAGTATTAATTAATGAATAAACGTGGATCTAGATCTAGATCTAGATCTAGATTTTTGTGTGCACTCAGCCAAGAGTGTGCAGTTCGGAAAGTACATCTAAATCTAGATTTTAGCTCTAGATCTAGATCTAGAGCTAAAATCTAGTGGTTGGCGAATGACCGAAGGCCGACTCTTGACAAGGCTACTTGCCAGTGAATTGGCGGAGACACACTATCTTGCAATTTGATTCACACTATCATATCAACAGTAGATCTACTTAATCTTCTGTCCTTGTTTCAATGGCTTCTTTTTCGGTGCACCTGTACAATTGCGGTCCCGTTTAATGCTTACATGACGACCATTGTCATCGGGGCAGCCCTATGTTCCCTAGCCCTATGTTCCCTCGCTCTATGTTCTCTAGCCCTATGTTCCCTAGCCCTATTTTCCCTAGCTCTGTAATGTCCATTTTCATTACAAACTTACGCTTGACCACTGGTCAGTCTAACCATTGCTTGACCACAGGTCATTCTGACAATTGCTTGACCACTGGTCACTTCAATCATTGCTTGACCAATGATAATTCTGACAATTGCTTGAACACTGTCACACTGACCATTGCTTGACCACTGGTCACTCTGACCATTAGTTGACCTTTGGTCATCGTGTAACTTGAATAGAGCTGAGGGAACACAGAGCTAGGGAACATAGGGCTAGGGAACATAGGGCTAGGGAACATAGGGCTAGGGAACATAGGGCTAGGGAACATAGAGCTAGGGAACATAGACATGGACCCATTGTCATATGGGAATGAATCTATCTGTAGATTCTAGATAGCCAAGATAATCTATCTCTAGATCTATATAATTTTATTTCAGTTTAGGTCTGGAATCTAGATTTAGACCTACATCTAGATATCTAGATCTAGATCTAAATAAGAAACACGTAAAAACTACCAGATGTAGATTCTACAGGGTCAGTTAGGCCTATTCTAGATCTAGATATAGATCTAAATCTACGGACATTGCACACCAGCTCTGTCGACAACAGACAGACGATACAGCGACGCTGCTCAAGACCTCGACATTGTATACACATTCATTTGCACGGTGCGAGCCGGTCCCAGAGTGGCTCTGTAGGTCTGACATGTAGCTCGCATGGCTCGCACCGTGCAAATGAATGTATACATTATCGTGTGCCAGAGCAGCGTCACTGTATCGTCTCTCTGTTGTCAGCAGAGCTGCGCGATGCGTCAGACGTGCTATTCAACAGTGTTGTAAAAATGGCGGACATGTGTCGCCTCGCTTCGTGTTTATTTTCTACTGAAACTCTTCACAGATCATCAAAATCAACAAGAAGTAAGTATTATTAGGTGTTTTACTATTAAATATTGATGCTAGGATCAACACTTGGCCACAAAATTACCAAGAAATGCACTTTATCATACTTTGAAACTTCGAATCGAGAGGTTGACCTAGTATCGACTGTCATTGTAGGCCTTGGCCTAGACCTAGATCTAGGCTAGGTGTTAGGGCTGGATTCTGCTCGGTTAATCGAAGGCTTGCAAAGCAGCGGAAGTCTTGCGCTAGAGTCTTGCGAGCAGGTTGTGGCTTGTGGTTTGATTTGCCTCCAGCTTGCTACCGGAGGGAACTTCCGGTGAGTTGTGACTCGCGGACAGTCCTGCTGTACTGTGTCGTGACG